TGAGTGACCTAATTTTTATATGGCTAGTGATCATCGAAGTATTTACGTTTTCCTTTGAGGAAAACGTGGACGCGTGTCTAACACTTGGTGTGGTCTTCCTTTTTGGGCTCAACAAAGCACTCAGTCAATTCTTAGATCTTGGACTGGTAATATGAACAGTAAATGGACCAATCAGACTGGGTATGAGATCTTGTTTTGGCCCACTTATGCTGGATGGTGTATTAACTGGTCCTTGGATCCTTATTTTGGGCTTGTCGCTTGTCTTGGATTGGTTGAAATTTTGTTTGCACCCCTAAATATCATGAATACACCCACCACAGTATAATATACTTTTATTATAGTTTTGCACGACAAAATTGGTCAAATGTTTGTGCCTAGATTAAAAAACAAGCGTACTCTGCCTAAAAGTTGAAGCATATTTTACAATGTCCACACCTTGACAATAAGCATATTTTGGAATGTTTATGACTCTCCACACTCCTTTCTAAACACACACTCCATATAATTTTAAAATAGTTGAATTTACTTTCTACACACTCTTATTATTCTAAAATTACCCCAAATTATTTTCATAGGATTATTAATTTTTTATCATTTTATTTTTCTTTTCACACCTACTATTTTATTTTAATTTTTTATTTTAATATTGCCATTTCTATATTTCTCTTTTTTTTTAGTTCAAGCTTTAAGCATGACGTTTTTTTTTTGTACAGGAAAAAAATTTATTAAAATATTTTTTAGAAAACATAAAGGACACACAAAAATATAAAATAAAGAGTAATATAATTCAAGAAATAAAAATCAAATAAAAAAAATGACAACAAAGTTATTATATTATTGAGGCATGATTAAAAATTCAAAATGGAAAAAGAATGAAAAACAAATAAACAAGCATAATATGCATAAAAAAGAACAAAATAGAAAAAAAAATCAATTCTACTGTAGAGGGTAAAATCTATAATTAAATTTGTTAGAGGCCAATGACTCAATTCGAAAGATTGGAGTGTTAGTATCTTAATCGCGGTAAAAATAAATAAACATAAAAATATAAAAAAAATGAGACACATAAATTTATAATAATTCTTCTGATAATTCAAGGCACGTCCACTATAAGGTCTTCAGCTCTTCCACTATGAGTATTGATGAAGATTACGATGGTATTCTTTGTAAATGTCCGGAGAAAGATATGAAAAATACTTAAAAGTATGAAAAATACTGTAAAAAGCGTATAGGAATGCGTGCAAGACAGTGTAGGCGTGCTCTGGGTGTGTGATCATGTGTCTCCCTCTTTCTTGGACGTGCAAGGGCCGATTTTATAGGCCTTGATTGCTGGAAAAATTATTTAAGGCAAGTTTCTCATTTGACTTTTTATTGAAGATCCTTTCATGGTAGAGAAATTGGTTAGGGAGCAAGTTTAGTTGGAGATTGACTTTCCCTTTTGTTATTATGAGGTAATATCTCACAGAATATGGCTGCTGTGATGATTAAATTAATGTTAATTTTCAGAATGCTGAGCTGGCAACCTCACGGGTGGACTGATCGTTCGGGTAGCGGACTATTAGACTGATCGTTCGGGCAGTCGACCTTGCTGATGAATAGCGGGCCGCTTCCGACCTCCAATTTCGTGATTCAACCCCATTCTCTGATAAGTGTGTTGACACGTGTATGATGAGAAATTATGAACAAAATTTGGCCTCAACATCTACTTTATAAGATTTGCCCTTTCAAAAATGAAATAATTAGGGAAAAAAAACATTAACACACAAGAACAGACAAAAGAACACTCGCCATAGAACAAATAATAAAGAAAATTTAATATGCTTCTATGTAATTTTTTATACACCTCAATTAATAAAATTACTTTTGAAGACAATAGTATTTAAAAAAAAAAATACTCATTACACACTCCATTATTAAAAAAATTGTATTGCCTTCTAAAAGTGATTGTGCACTAATTTTTAAAAGTTAAAGTTCATTATTAGTTTCCAAATTCATAAATTAGCTAAAACCAGTCTTATGTGTTCTACTATGAAGCACTACAATTTGAGTTTTTGTGTGTGAGAGAGAAGAAAAGAAAATCTGAAAAAAGAAAACACACAATTACCGTGAATTATTAAGGGGCATAGTCATAGATTCGTTTGGTTACTCTGCATGTAAAATTGAATTGTTGGCTAAACTTTTTTTTCCTCTCTATTAATTGATAGATGATATTGTAAGGGGGTTGCTTATTCTTAGGTGATATTGGGTGATGAGGTTATATAGAGTTGGCCAATGGGATCTAAGAATTTTATTTTGCACTAGGATATCCCAATAAACAATCACTGGGCAATGGCAACTGCGTAGCCTTTCCTTCCCCATTTTTTTGGGAGCATTTGTTAGTTGTTTCTCTTGTTCAGCAAAGGGCCAAAGGCTTTCTACAAGAAAAAAAATAAATATCAATCCAATATCTCACAATTCATTGTGTTGTTTATATTAGTATTGAAGGGCAAGGCAATAACGGAGGTAGGATTTTTTTTTTTTTTTTTTTTTTTTTTTTGGGGGGGGGGGTTTTTTTTTTTTTTTTTTTTTTTTTTTTTTTTTTTTTTGGGTGAGATCAGCTTGATTCTCAAAACATACATCTAAAATGGTTTGATTTAACTATTTAAAATTCATTTCAATGTATTAAATATATTTTAAGAAATTTAAACTATTAATTGATATTAATTAATACAAAAATGTGTGTAAAAAGTAGAATTGTGGATGATTTAGATATAAGGACTTTTTTGAAATTTTAAGAGGGGTGTAACAAGTAGAATAGGGAGTGATTTAAGAATGTGTGTGTGAAAGTAGAAAAGATGGTGTCAATAGACACACCCTTTAAGAATATGACATGTGGGGTGTGTGAAGAGAAAAAATAAAATATCACTATTTTTTATTATAAAATTTAATTATGTAATTAAGTCTATTATAGTAGTCTTTTTTTGTTATTTTACATGAGAGTTTTTTTAATAAGAAATTATAATTAAAAGGGGGTGTGGAGAGTAAAGAGATGTGTGAATAGAACCACCCTTATTATTATTGTTTTTTTTTACTGCAACCATTTTTTAAGGTTGATATCGTGATATACCATATTTAGGAACGATTTGAGTTTAATTTATACACAAATATACTAAATATAGTATGAATAAACAACTAGACGTCATAAATTTTACTTCTTTAAATTGTGATATTGGACCTAATTAGCACAAAAAATTAGATGTTTCTTCAACATTTTATTTTAAGTAAAAACACACTATATGGTAAATTTATGAGAGTGGAATTGAAATATAGTAATTTTCTTGAAATATTTTAGTAGTAAATATTACATCGCAATCATTATAATAAATGTCTCATTTTATACCACTAAATTATTATAATATATTTTAATTTTTACTGTTTGTGAAATGTTAAAATATATTTCAACATGATTAGTAAACTTTTGCTATATCTCTAACTTTATAATTTATGCATCTTTATCATGTGAATTGCTATCTCCATCATTCTTGGTTAATAGACTAGAATACCATCCAAACTGACCAAGATCCACGACTTTGTCTCAAGGGGGAGCAAAAGAAAATAAAAATAAATAATAAAATTTCATCAGCACGTCTCCATTTGGAAATCTTTCGTCCCCTCAGCCATTCATGAGCTCCGAATTGTGTCAGCCAAAGATATGTGAAAAGATTTTCTAATAAAATGCTAAATAAATGGCAAACGTTTTTTTTTTTTTTTTTTTTTTTTTGGGGGGCTCAATTTCCTTATTTTCAAATTCTTAAATGTCAAATGTTTATTTTCCATATATACCCAAAACAGTTCGCATTATCAACACAATAAAGAATTGAAGCAATATATATACATATATATACATATATATATATATATATATATCAATCAACTACTAACAGAAATTAAGGCTCTATACGTGCGACAATTCAAACTAAAATGAGGTCTTTACCGAATAAAAAAAAAGCATTAAGCATTTGATACCCTTTTTTACACTCCCACCCCCTTCTAAATATACACCTGTTATAATTTTAAAAGGATTAAATTTATTTTTTATACACCCCTATTATTCGAAGACTATCCCTAACATTTTTATAATATTATTAATTATTGAACATTTAAATTTTCTTTTTACACACACTGTTTTATTTTAATTTATTGTTTTTTTATCTCTATAATTTTCATCCTGAAGTTTTCGGAAGGAAGCCCTTCTTCATACATAATTATAATTACATTTTTGAATAATAAAGAACATAAACATGAGATAATTATTATATCAATTGAGGTGTTGATAAAAAAAGACAAAATGGAAAAAATGAGTTCAAAAGAGCATAAGAAAAACAGAGAACGAAACTTTAAGGGAAAAAATTCAACTTTATAAAAAAATAAATGATTAGCCATCAAAAAAATAAAATGATTAAAAAATAAAAATAAAACGAAAAAAAAAAGACAGAGAAAAATCGTACTACAAATTGCAAAGAAAATTAAACTTATTTTCATCTAGCTCTTTTGTAATAGTCATTAACAGATAAAAATTAGGGCTCTATTATAATTCTCAAAATAGTAGTAGTTTATAATTTGTGATATAATAACGTGGGTGTGTTGAAAGGAAAAAAAAAAGTATATAATTTGTTTTCTTTTTATTATAAAATTTAATTACGTAATTAAGTCTATCATAATTGTCTTTTTTTTCTCATTTTATGTGATGGCCTTTTTGTCATTAGAAATTTTAATTTAAAGGGGCTGTGGAGAGTAAAAAATGGTATGCAAATAGAACCACTCTTTATTCAATCAGGCCTATTACGAGGGGAAAAGAATCATAAAATAATTTTCCAAATCAGAAGTTTCAAACTTGTACATTTTGTACACCAATATTATCAATGAGACCTGGACTTATGGTGTTTTTGCATTTGATGTTTCCTTTCATCATTTACTGCAATTTTCCCACATCAATTTGGATGAAAATCAAAAAAATTTCAATGAAAGCCATTATCATAGTGCTCTTGTTGTGCCTTTTGGCATTTTTCTTTACAATCTCCACAGCAATAGACACAATAAGTGCCACTAAATCACTTAAAGATGGTGAGTCCATAGTTTCACCCGGTGGAATCTTCGAGCTCGGGTTCTTTAGCCCCGGTAGGTCCAAGAACAGGTACTTAGGAATATGGTACAAGAAAGTAGGAACCGGGACAGTTGTTTGGGTTGCTAACAGGGATGTGCCACTCAAGGATTCATCCGGGGTTCTGCAATTTTCTAGGCAGGGAATTCTTTCCCTTGTGAATAAGGATAAAATTGCCATTTGGTCCTCGAATTCATCCATAACTGCAACCAGTCCCGTTGCGCAGCTTTTGGATACAGGAAATCTAGTAGTGAAGAATGAAGAAGACAATGAGCCAGAGAATTACTTGTGGCAAAGTTTTGATTATCCGGGCGATACGCTTCTTCCAGGCATGAAATATGGAGTGAATTTTGTTACCGGCCTGAACCGGGGCTTGACGTCATGGAAGAGTGATGATGATCCTTCTGAAGGTGATTACATAAATAAACTTGATCCTAATGGTTTACCACAGTTTTTTCTAGAGAAAGGGTTAGCTAAGCAATTCAGGTCAGGACCATGGAATGGCCTAAGGTTTAGTGGTATGCCAAACTTGAAACCAAATGGCATATACACGTATGAATTTGTTTTCACTCAGGAGGAAGTTTACTATACTTATAATCTTGTCAGCAGCTCGGTTGTGTCGAGATTGGTGTTGATTCCCAACGGAAATCTTCAGCGTTACACGTGGATTGACCGAACAAAGGATTGGAAACTATACTTGACAGCACAAATTGACGACTGTGACAGGTATGCAACATGTGGTGCATATGGTCGTTGCAATATCGACAACTCCCCTGCTTGTGGCTGCTTGGAGGGGTTTGTGCCTAAATCACCGGAAGAATGGTATTCCGGAGATTGGTCAAACGGATGCATAAGAAAAGCCCCGTTGGAATGCATGGAAGGAGAGGGATTTCGACGATACACCGGCATTAAATTGCCTGATACAAGCCTGTCATGGTATAACAAGACCATGAACCTCAAAGTGTGTGAGCAGGCATGCCTGAAAAATTGCTCTTGTACAGCTTATGCTAATTTGGACATCAGAGAGGGAGGAAGTGGGTGCATACTTTGGTTCAAAGAGCTTTTTGATGTTAGACAATATGCTGATTCCAGTCAAGACATATACATTAGGATGGCTAAATCCGACTTGGGTATGTCTTCTTTTATTCATTCAATAATTATAGAATATTAGTAGGATTAACTTCATTTTTTGTCCACCCAAACTATGGCTTAATTTCATTTCGGTTCTTGACTTTTAAAACATCGCATAACAAGTCCCCAACATATTATGTTGTCATCGACTAATGATTCTATCCATCCGAATGCTAAAATTTCGAATCGAAAAGACATGATTCTCTTCTTAATAGTCACCCTCTGACATGTAAAATTACAAAATTAACCTCTAGTAAACCATACATGGTCCTCTCCTGCCTTAATAGTTCGATGGATAGAAATTGCTGATAACTTCATTGATCAGGACCTTGTTCTGAGACACTTTAAAAGTCAAGTAACGAAATTGAGATTTGTCCTATAGTATGGGGAAGAAAATGGGATTTACCCAAATTGGTATCCAAATTTGAATTAGATAACTAAATTTCATGTTTTGACCATGTTATTTCATTGTCATAATCACGGTTGCTTTATGTTTTGACAATGGCAGCTACATATAGAAGTTCGAAAGGGAAGAGAGTTACAGGAACCATAATAATACCTATAGTAACTATAGGAATGGCAATAATAAGCCTATTAGCATTGTGGCATGTCTTGAAGAGGAGGCAGAAGGGGAAGCCAAGAAGAGAAGGCAAGTCAACCGAAAAAAAAAAAAGACAACTGACGCCAAAATGTTGGGTGTTGTCACACTTGTTCATTTTTGCCAACTATTGAATTATACAATGTTAAATAGTAATGTGGTATCAGAGAAAATGTGCACTTTGAGTTATGAATTATAATAACACCATATTGACTTTGTTAACATCTCACTATTCAAAATTTTGACAAAAATCTAGGAAGAAAGAAACTTTATTCTACTTTCTATTTCTGGTCCGAAAAAGTTTCTTTGATTTTTAATTGCAGGAAATACGGTGCATAGCCGACAGCAAGACTCAACCGATGAATTAATTCGAAATGAAGACCTACACTTATTTGGCTTTAACGTGATAGTAGAAGCTACAAATAACTTCTCAAATGACAATAAACTTGGACAAGGTGGTTTTGGACCAGTCTACAAGGTATATGAAAAAAAAAAAAAAAAAAAAATCGTGAACTACTTCTTTGATCTGTTTAATTATGTTATTACACCAGCTTGGTATGCTCATAGGACAAGATATTGACTTAGAAAGATGGTAATACGTAGGGGAAGCTAAAGGATGGACAAGAAATTGCTGTGAAGAGACTCTCGAAAAATTCAAGGCAAGGGTTAGATGAGTTCAAGAATGAAGTGTTCTGCATTGCCAAACTTCAGCACCGAAACCTAGTGAAGCTCTTAGGTTGTTGCATAGAAGCCGAAGAAAGGATGCTGATATACGAATACATGCCGAACAAAAGCTTAAACTTGTTCATCTTCGGTTCGATTCTTTCATGACCATGAATTCTTTCATTTTAAGGAGCAAAAAACTTTCCAATCAAAGTTTTCTCTGGTTTATATGCATATTTAGGGACTACATTAACTTGACATAAAACTATGGACAGATGAAAAGCAGAGTGTACTTGTGGACTGGCCTAAGCGGTTTCACATTATCAATGGAATTGCTCGGGGTTTACTATATCTTCATCAAGATTCTAGATTGAGGATTGTCCATAGAGATCTAAAAGCTAGCAATGTCTTGTTAGACCAAGAAATGAATCCGAAAATTTCAGATTTTGGCATGGCTAGAGGTTTTAGAGGAGATGAAACTGAAGCAAATACAAGCAGAGTAGTTGGAACATAGTAAGGATATCTATAAAACCCATCTTAGAGTAAGTTCACACACATCAAACGCCAACACAATTTTCAAATTTCTTATAAATTTTCCGCAGCGGTTACATGTCTCCTGAGTACACAATCGACGGGATCTTCTCATTGAAATCCGATGTTTTTAGCTTTGGTGTGTTGGTTCCTGAAATAGTAAGTGGAAAGAAGAACAGAGGATTTCGCCATGCACACCACAAGCTTAACCTTCTAGGACACGTAAGTACACAAATACAACTTCCTTGAAATGAATCTTAGAAAAGTGACATAATTTTTTTTGTTTTGTTTTGTTTTCATTTCGTTTTGTTTTTGTTTTTTTCAGGCATGGATGCTACACAAAGAGGGAAAATCTTTGGAATTAATAGACAAATTTGTGAAGGACTCATGTAATGAAGCTCAAGCGCTGAGATCAATTCATGTGGCTTTGTTATGCGTGCAACGTAGCCCGGGTGACAGGCCAAGCATGTCAAATGTGGTTCTGATGTTAAGTAGTGAGATCGCTTTGCCGACGCCGAAAGAGCCGGGTTTTTTCACTGAAAGGCATCTGTCTGACACAGATTCTTCATCAACCAAGCATGAGCAGCCTTCTACAATCAACAGAGTAACCATTACAGTGCTAGAAGCTCGATGAAGTTGGTGCACATCGCATGCATTGCGAGTGCATTTTGGTCCGCGGTTTGATTTGTTTTAGGCTGAAATTTCTTGCTACAAAAATTTATGATAAGACAACCCAGAAATAAAGGAAAGGAACGCAAATTATGTCTATTTTTCTTGTCTTGCTCTCAGTGTAGTGAATTAGCTTTTCACAAATCTTGTTAACTAGTTTTAGGAAACTCTAAAGGAGCATATGAAAGAGAAATAGTAGTTTTGCTGTTAATTAAGATGATTGTTTAAAAAATAATTATCATAAGTTGATGAACACAGTGCAAAACAAAACAAAAAAAAAAGGGTAGGATTTTCATTCTAATTCTAAAGAAATAAAGGAAGAAAGGAAATAGTGCTAGGACAAATATTATAGAAAGAAAATATTAGTCAAATAACTTGGATTTTTGGATTTGGAAGATTTGTTTGATTTCCTAGTTTTATGGTGATTAACTGGCAAGATAATTAACCAGCTATTTGGGTTTGATTTTGAGGATTTTCTGGTGGTTTTTTGGTCCTTATTTAGCGTCCTAATTGAGTGACCAACCTCTATATATTTGTATTTCTTTTTCTCATGAAATCAATATAAAAATGTAGCTTTACTTTCTTTTTATTTCATAGAACATGTTTGTATAGGAAATGGCCCATAGATGGTTTTCTGGATGCAAGGAAATCTGTTAACAACCCTTCATTTTGAGCAACTAGATCTGTCAAAAAGAAATTGTGATTGATTTGTGTTCAATAACACAAGTTGGGCTTCCATTTTTGTACATGTGGCTTTCAAGAAAACTTCATGTTATTTATTTTCCAAAAAAAAAATAATAATAATAATATTAGTGTCTTGGCCCTACAAAAGTAGAAAGCTAACTCCACTACTGCTCCTCAAGTAAGACTATGGACCAGTTTAATAGTACTGTAGATTTTTAAAAAAATTATTGTTAGCAGTGCTAAAAAACAACAGTTGTTACAAAAATCAGTTGAGTGTTTAGTAAACTATAATTATACAAGTATTGATTCAAGGGGTATTATAAAAGTTTCATTAATTATACTTCAAGGTTATTGCCGCATAATCTAAAAGCCAAAGTTGTTTTTAGGCTACTTCTGATTTTGACTCTAAATTCTTCAAAACATTTTTAAGAATTACTTTTTATGGTTTTTACCAAACACAAATTTCAACTGTGAATGGCTAGAGAATTAATTTCGGGCTTCAAAAATTACTATCAAACATACCTTATGCCGCCTGTGCCCCTAGGTGATAGTGATATATTTTCATAACATTTTTTTAAGTGTTAAAATGAATGGAGAAAGTTGCACATCTTATTAGAGATGCAAGAACGGGCCGGCCCGTCCCGTTCTCCTTAGGCCCACACGGGCCGTGGGCCAGACCAGCCCAGCCCACGAATTTTGTGGGCCGGGCCGGGCCAGCCCATATAAGATGGGCCAACCCATCTAAACATGCAATTTTTATTTTTTAATTTTTAAACAAGTTAACAAATATATAACTTTGAATAGTCAATGAAAATATAAAAATGGATCTTTTATTTACGATTACTGATTAACGCCCAAAAGTGATGTTCACAAGCGGTCAATTGTAGCACAGAAGGGCGGTCGTATCTACAAAGAGATAACAAAATAACAAGAAAGATTAGCAAAATAAGAGCGTTAGAGAAAAATAAATAACAAGTGAATTAAAGAAAAAGAAGAGTTTTTGAGATTTTGTTGCAAATAAAATGAAAAGGAGAAAATTTGTATGAAGAAACTTCAATAGTAAAAACGGTAAGGTGTCGAGAATCCCTAATGTTTTGTTCACCAATTCAAGTTTTGATTCACAAAACAAAAAGACGAATAAATTAAATCTCTATGTTGACTCCGAAAATATTATCATTACAAGTTATCCAAAATCGACAATATATCAATTTGACAATATTGCAGTAAAAGACAATTTGTAAAATAATTTGAATAACAAGACAACGCGTGACAGAATTACATAAGAAAAGCGTGACTGAACTTATATAAAAATTGACATACAATATTTTGAAAAGGAAAAGAAAGATAGATGAGATTTAATTCATTCGGATGTTGAACTTTACAGCACAAGGAATCAAAAACCCGATTTGGGTCACTCAATAAAAGTTCATCTCTAACTTCACCAAGAGAACTCTAGCCTAATTTGCAAAACATTCTTTCAAGTTCTAGAGAGAAAATATGAGAGTGACAACAAGACGATAGAAAACTAAATATTAAAAGCTTACAAAAACCTTAGGCTAACCTCTCTATTTATAGTGTTTAGAGGTTGCCTGTCAAATAAGGAAACAAACAATAAAAATAGAAAATTACAAAAAAAAGGAAACAAAATAAAATTACACATAAATTAGGACAAATCAAATATATGATTTGAGGAAGAAATCCGGTAATTTGCTCTGATTTTTGGGAAAGAAATTTGGATTCAACTCCAAAGGGGACACGTGTCGCAACGTGATTGGCAGTGAGGAGAAAAACGCGCCACGTGTCACGCGCGGAATGGTTGAAGCTTGCTGGCGTGAACCGGCGCGAGGTCCGCGGAAGCCAGCTGTCACGCACGGAGAAGAGGAGCAGGCTACACGCTGACACGCGGGACCCACGCGGAGGGAAGTAGGGACGCACGTTGAAGGCTGCGTGGAAAGAACGCGCGCGCTGAGGCGCGAGAGGAAGGTGCGGGCTGAATGGCAGGGTCCACTCGTCTTGGCTCGGCTTGGTGGCTTATTTGGCTAACGCGGCTATTCTCTCTTTTTGGCTTGTGAGGCTTGGCTTAGTGGCCTAAATTGGCTGAAAATTGTATCTTTTGTGTAGCTCTTCACACTGCTTTTTATTTGTAAATAATTAAGCAAAAACTAGACAAATTCCAATTAAAAATATTATAAATAAAAATAATGAAATTGTTTAATTAAAGGTTAAATATTTTAATATTATATAAATCATATGCAATATTTAGGGTGCATTTTCATGTGCTAATCACAACTCCCAACCAGCTTATTGCTAGTCCCTAGCAATTCAAGCGCAAGAGAAATCATGTCACAAAGAAAATCTGAGTCTCAACTAGCTTAGTCACCTGAGTATTTCAAACAAACTGTCAGTAAGAAGTCAAAAGACACTATCAACATTATTTCAGTCATAACTCCATAGTCGTGTGTGTGCTCTAAACCATAACCTTCCTACCACTGACCATAACACATGCAGCTTTGAAAAATTCACCAAGTAGAAGTCTCAACTCCATTGATCTCACATGTGTCAGAAATATTTTAGTGCAAAGGTTTTCTCTCATGGAGTTGGAAATGGAACAATCAACGCTCAGTGTGAGGAAGATAAAATTTAAGACAAACAATCAAACGAACATTGATCAAAAGATAGGTTAATCAACTACTAGAACATTCCACCATTCTTACCACAAACTAGCTTTTGAGATTTCATTCGGGTCAAACAGAAATTTACAAAAATGAACAAAGAGCCATAAAAAAATGCATAAGAAAATAAATTACTCTTCTTTTTTTTTTCTTTTCTTTTTTTTCTCTTTTTTTCTTTTTTTTCTTTTTTTTTTTTGGCAAGAGACAACCTACAATAGTGAAGTGAGTGTAGAAAGGTGTTCTTTTGACAAACAGCTATATAGCATCAAATGTGATTACAGCCAAACTACACGGTATGTGAAATGTTGCTCTTGCTCAGTTTTTTTTTTTTTTTAAAATAAGAAATGAGGCTCTATTATATAAGATCATTCCTATCTAACCCAAAATCCATCCCTCAAGCATTCAATCATATACACCAAGCATACCACTAACCATGTAATGATGTTCTAACAGTGATTTTACCAGCTCAAAAGATCAATGAAGGTTCAAAAGTCATTTTCTTAACTCTCTTAACTCACCAAAAATTAGGCACTTAAACTCGGGAATTTCCTCATCTGACATGCATTAACATCCATCTTACCACAAGGTTTAGCACGTGCAAAAAGAAACTCTGGAAGTCATTTCTTAGTAACCAAGACAGCGAAAATCGACTCAAACCAATCATTTTGAAATCATACTCACATATCTTCGCAAAAATTTTAACCCAAATATCAACATGACAAAAATCACTCTTACGCATGAGTATGCTTACCACCCCTAACCAAAATCAGATAGTGTCTAAACTTGGTTCCTTAGGCTAACCCATCTATTTATAGTGTTTAGAGGTTGCCTATCAAATAAGGAAACAAACAATAAAAATAGAAAATTACAAAAGAAAAGGAAACAAAATAAAATTACACATAAATTAGGAGAAATCAAATATATGATTTGAGAAAAAAATCTGGTAATTTGCTCTAATTTTTGGGGAAGAAATTCATATTCAGCTCCAAAGGAGACACGTATCGCAATGTGATTAGCAGTGAGGAGAAAAACGCGCCACGTGTCACGCGCGGAATGGTTGAAGCTTGCTGGCGTGAACAGGCACGGGGTCCGCAGAAGTCAGCTGCCATGCACGGAGAAGAGGAGCAGGCTGCACGCTAACACGCGAGACTCACGCAGAGGAAAGCAGGGACGCACGTTGAAGGCTGTGTGGAAAGAACACTCGTGCTGAGGAATGGTGTGCTGGTGACGCGCGAGGCACGAGAGGAAGGAGCAGGCTGAATGGCGGGGTCCACTCGTCTTGGCAAGGCTTGGCGGCTTATTTGGCTAACGCGGCTATTCTCTCTTTTTGGCTTGTGAGGCCCGGCTTAGTGGCCTAAATTGGCTGAAAATTGTATCTTTTTGTGTAGCTCTTCACACTACTTTTTATCTGTAAATAATTAAGCAAAAACTAGACAAATTCCAATTAAAAATATTATAAATAAAAATAATGGAATTGTTTAATTAAAGCTTAAATATTTTAATATTATATAAATCAAAAGTAGTATTTATGGTGCATTTTCATGTGTTAATCAATTACCTCATTAAATAAACACCTTTATAAGAAAAATCTAGTGGGACAAAGTCTTGG